TGTTAGCTCTACCGCTTCTCAGCTGTGCGGCCTTGAACTTCATTTGCCTTATCTGTAAACTGGGGAAAATAACAGTACCTCTCTTACAGGGTGGCTGGGAGATTAAATAAAACGCTAGGCAGAGAAGCGTTTTTTGAATTATGGAGTGAGGCATGTACAAATGCCAGTGACGGCGAGGTCGATGATGATGACGGTGACGATGACGTCGACACTGGTGTTGCTGCGCGGCACAGTTCTCATTTCCTACTTTAGTGGTTTTCAGTGGGGTTCTCCAACGGGGTTAATGTCACTATCGTTCCATAAACCACGGGCAGAGAATTTGGCCTAATCGACTATGAACAGTTTCAATTCCTAATGTCGACAGGGGATGCGCCACCCCCAGCACGACACAGCGCATCCATTCGGGATGTTCATGTCTCGACCTAGCCAGTGGGGTTCCTGACCCAGACGCATGTCACTTTCATCTCCAGGATCCTTGGAGTCCTTTCCTCCTCCAGTGCTGAGTCAAAGGAAATGACCCCCAGGGAGCACGGGGCAGCCCGCAGGAAACAGAGCAGGGTCAGGGTGATGATTACAAAGGAGTCGCCAGAGCAGTTTTAGCTCGCTCCACCTCTCCCCTCCCGGCCCCTCCCCGCCCCTTTCTTTCTCTCTATTCATTTTTGGTGCGGTGGGCGGGGTGGGGTAGAGAATGAGGAGCAACTAGGAAGGAGGCGGAACCTAGTAAGAAACTGTCCAATAAGATGACAGAGGTAATGGAGAAGGAAGATGGAACATCTGGGCAAGGGCGCCCGCCTGGGCCTCGTGCGAGGACCTCACGTCATGATTCTCTGTTTGTTCCAAATTCAGACTCACGATGTGGTCCTATGAAGGGTGGAATGGGGGGGCACCCCGGGGCCCACGACGAGCACCCCTTTTCCCGCAGACGTACGGGTCCGAGGGGCCGACGCCCCCTTCCGTGGGATGGCTCGTTGGGATATGGGCACTGTCACACCCCACCCGTTCTCTGCTATGGAGAACGGATGTTTCCTCGGCCTTGGGTGAAGCCGCGTGCAAACGCAGCACGAAGCGTGCCTCTCCCCGCCGTCCTCGATTCCGACCAGACTGCTGTCCCTCAGCCCCTGCTCTAGACACGTCCTGGGGCCGCCTGACCCCCCGCCCCCCGGAGGGCTCCTCCTGCACATGTTCGGGCCGGAGAAGGGAGCCCGGGCGGGGGGCGGGTTCACACCTCTGGCCGTGCTCATCTCCCCATCGGGCCAGGCCAGGCAGTGGAAACCCGTGGGCGAGACGCAAATGGGGGCGCTGATCTCCTGCCCCTGGACTGTGGTCCGGGTGTCCACCTGCGACACGTCTCTCAGGTACCGGGGACGGAGGCGAAATCTGCGCCAGATGACAGAGGTTTTCCGCTGGTGGGACTGCCGTCCAGCGTGGCGGTGCTGCCTGCTGCCGGGGCCTGCGGGTTGCTGGTGCCGCCTGGTCCGGCTACGGCCTGGGAAACTCATGGGGGGTCAGCTGCTGGCAGCTGAGCAGGCAGCACAGACCGACCGGAGGCTCCGCTCCCCCAGGAAGCCGCTCCCGGGCCCTGTCCCGCAGGAGCCCCGCCTGCTCTGAACTCCCAGTGCTCCTGCGGTCCCCACCGGTCCCTGGCTGGCCCCCTCAGGGCCGGCGTATCCCAGCCGCCCTCTCAGCCCTCGGCTGCTCTGATTGATGCATGAGAACAAGGCCTAGAAAGGAAAAGAGCAAGCAGCGGGTGTGCCAGGCTCTCCCTTCTCGGGTTAGAAGAGCCTCCGTAAGGTAAAGGGTCACGGGAGGGGACAAAGCCCAGGGAGTGATCACAGTGTTATTCTGCTAGACGCTAATGCATCTGAAGATTAAACATCGCTTTAGAAGAAGGTGAGGACATTCACAAACAACAAATATATAAAACTCTTTCTCAGGGTCCCAAAATGCTTGTCTTTCACAAAATATCGTCCCTGTACACAAACGTAGAAACATTTTTCTGGAAACGCCGACTGTGCCCAATGAGTAAGACAACCTCATCTGTGCACTGCGAGTAATAATCCAAATTTCCTAAAGGCCTCGCGATGACAAAATGATGAAGCAATACAAGAACCGGGGTACACAAGCATGAACATGCAGGGCCCGTGTTCACCTGGTACCCCGTTGTTCAGTTTTCCCCTGACCTATCACCGGAGTCAACGCACTTTTTCTGTAAAGGGCCAACTGGAAATAATTGAGGCTTTGTGGACCATACAGTCTTTGTCACAATATGTAAAGGACAGCATAAGTGTTTTCTAGTAAAACTTCATGGACCCGGAAATTCGAATTTCTTATAATTTTTGCATGTTACGAATCTTCATCTTCTTTTGATTTTTTTCCAACTGTTTAAAAATGAGGGGGGGAAAAACATCCTTAGCTTGTGAACCATATAAAAATAGGCAGTGGGCCCGACCTGGCCTTGGGGGCCGCCGTCTGCTGGTCCAGGCTCTGCGTCCTGCCGCTCTAGTCCGTGTCTCCCCCTTGAATCAAACCTCTTTCACCCCTAAGACTCCTCGGGTGCCCATATTTCCTCCCACCCTGAGTCCTCTCTGTCATCATTCTTTCCTCCAAGCCAGAAGCTGAGAAACTGAGGCCTACCCAGCAGGCTTCTTCTCCCTGCCCAGGTGACTGGTGACCTTGGGACTCTTGCCCTATCCTGCCTAGGGACTGAGTTGCTGGAATGAAGACTCATTTGTGTTCATTCTGCAGAGGCACTAAGATAAATTCTCTCTCCATCCATCCTCTCCCTAGCTACCTGCCCCCCACCCCCGCCCCCCAAAAAACAACAACCCAAACCCAAAAGAACAACAACAACAAAAGCTACTCTTTTATCCTGAGTCCTCTACGTTCTTTGCAGGCAGAAACCAGGGCTGCCCGCTTCCTAGGAGCGCTCAGTCCGTGCCCCTCAATTAAACGACAGGAAGGATACGGAAGACCAGACTTTTTAAATGCCGCGACGTTGTCATCTCGTGTGAAGTCGTCGTCAGCTCCGCCTTCAATATAATCCCACGTCGACTTACACAGACGCTCCCGCGCTTGGGCCTCGAAGTCTGTCACACACACCATGGGCATTTCTGGACCTTCAGAGGACAAACCAAAACCAACAGAACAAAACCCGGTAAGAATACTTCCGAGGTCGAGGAGAGGGTGGAGGATACAGCACGAGGCCGTTTGGATTCATCACTCGCCGGCCGTCATGTTCCGTATCCCGGTGGAGATGCTGCCCGAAGGGCTGACCCCCCAGCCAGCGAGCAGGGGGTCGCACCGCACTCCCCCAATCCCCTGGCCCCACCCCAACTCCTGATGATCTGGTCTTCTGAATATCCCTCACGTCTGTCCCCACTGCCTCAGATCTACTGAGGCCCCACCACCTCTTCTGAGATGATTACGAAAACTTCTCCTCTTTGTCTCTCTGCTGCCAGATTCACTCCCCGCCTCGTCTCCCTCCAGCTGCCTGGGATTTTTCTAAAATGCAAGTCCTGTCACGCCTCTCGTCTTCCGAGCGCCCACGTCATGGCATTCGCGCCTTTCCAGAACCTGGCTCCTTTCTCACCAGCGTCATTTCTTGGTGGCTTTTCCTGGTCATCTGAGTTACGCTGAGCATTTCCCGAACATGCTGGAGGGAGGGCTAGTCCACCGCTCTGTGCCTTTTTGGGAGGAGATCGGTCAGGGTGGGAAAACTGGGGCTGAACGAGTTCCCAGGATTCTCTGATGTCTGAATTGCTTGGAGCTGTAGTTGACACCAGGGAGAAAGCTGATTTTTTTTTTTTTTTTTTTTTTCCCCAACTCCTTGGCCGGGCCATTGAACATGTTAATTTTGAGACAGAGAAAATGACATCTTAGCTCTATTCATTCGTATTCACAGGCTGAACCCTGTAAACCCAGAGCCTGGTCCTTTTGCTATGACCGCCCCTGAGAGAGGAAAGAAAGGGGCGGTTTGGGGGCAAATCCTTCCAGCTGGGGCCAGGGTGGTGTGGACGGAAGCCGCAGAGACACCACAGGCACAAGCTGCAGCGTGTGCACAAGGATCCGTGGGAAAGGTGAGGAGGCTGTGGCTCTGGGCATCTCTCCAGCAGCTGGCAAGGGGGTGAAAACGAGCCAAAGGTTGTGAGCAGGAACTGGATGACTTCGACATCTCTGGCGGAGGGATGGGGATAAGCCCCGGGGACTAGGGCCTCCAATGCCAATGGAGCAGCTGCTCTCATGGGCAAGGGGGTGAGGGAGGTCAGGCGGAACACGATGTGCTGGGAATCCTGGCGGGGGACGGGATGGGGCAGAACTGGCCGGAGGGCATCCGGGGCCATGCCAGAATCCAGTCAAGTCAAACAGAACGCCTACCTCCGGTGTTAGCAGAAGGAGGCTACATGATGGAAAACAGCGCCCCTGGGAGCTGCAGTGGATCCTGAATGAGGCTAAGGGGAGGAATTCGGGGCACAGCCACAGAGCTTTTTACAGACAAAGCACCTCGTCAGTGGGTGGGCAGGAGCACCTGAGGTGCTGAGTTGAGTCTGACCAAGTTCAATAACCGAGTCTAACTTATCTCCCCCCTTCCAGACCCTTCAAGGGCTCAGCAATTTTTAGTCAAATGAATTAATCATTGAATTTATCTAACTGCATCACCATCATTTATTTCAGCCCACGTGTGCATAAAAGAGTTAACGTAGCAGGCCCGAGCATGCTCCCCCTCAAAAGGCCTGCTTGCAAGGTTGGACCTCGGCTGGAGTCTGGGAACGTAGATTTCAGGATGCTTCCCACCATCCCCTGTGGCTCACTGAGTCTCGGCTGTTTGTGCAAATGACGTGGCTTATGCCGAACAACCGCTTTCCCTCTGAGACCTGGAAACTTAGTATGGGCTAGGCAGAGAGTGTCTATATGACCAGCCCCCAACAAAAACCCTGGGCATGGAACCTCTGAAATGACCTTCCCTGGTAGAGAACATTTCACACGTGTTGTCACCACTCACGTGGATCCTGCATAATTCCACCGAGAAAGGACTCTTGGGAATTTATACCTCGTTTCTTCCAGATTCTGCCCCCTGAGCCTGTTCCGTCTGCTAATTTTGCTGTACATTCCTTCGCTGTAATAAATCATAGCCTCAAGCATCTGCTGTGTGCTGTGAGTCTTCACTGAACCTGGGACCCCCAACACATTACGTATCTCGGGTATTACGACGGTATGTGACACCTAGCTGCTATTCATAAATGTTCATTACTTGAATTTAACACCTCCGTCTGTCATCTCTCTACCTTGTTGGATGAGAATTCTCCACCGGGTTTCAACTCCCGACGTCTCAGCAAATCCCCACATCCTAAACATTACACACACAGAGAAACGCTTCTGCAGACTTCTGGCCCAGAAACTCAATGACGGTTGTATCTAATCCCAGAGAAATGGTCCAGGCTCCCTCAGAATTACTCGCCTGGAACAGTGTGAGTTATTTCACCTGAAAGCTGCCTGGGAATGGGGAAATAACCCAGCATCTTTATATACACAAAACATCGCTTCGTCGCATTTCTATTTACTGTTTCCTTTCTACTTCCCTGTGAAGCAGAGAGGGAAGGTATTGCTCTTTATTCTGCATTTGAAGAGAATGATGTAGTAAATTATTACAGAGGAAAGCCCCAAATCATGACCTCTGGTAGCCTCTAAAGACAGACGTTCCCAATTTTCAATTTCACGATACAGAGCCCAATAGTCGCTTCACATTAATTACTTGTCGAATCGAATTTAAAAGATTTTTTTCAGCATGAAAATACAGCTATGATGCATTTCTTTCTTTTCATAGCACATGTGAAGCTTACAAGAGTACTGAGCCCATCATTTTTATGAGTCCAATAGAAGAATTACAGTTGACGAGAAGGACCACCTGGTCGTTCGAAGCTTTCCCCGAGTTTGGGAGGGAGACTTAGCACTGCACGTTTGTATGTATTTCCGTCTGATCCATATCGGACTTCGAGTCACGAGATATTAAAGGGAGGATCCAAGCCTGTTTTCCCGTTTCATTTCATCTCCATTCCAGTATTTTGTCTTTTTTTCCTCCTTTACCCCAGCTGACTAAGAGGAGGAGAAAAAGATAAAAGTTTCTCATGAGCTAGGAACTTTAGCCCATTTTAGCTCACTTAATCTGTCCAGGCTTTTTGTCTCATGGTAAACACGGTGAGGTACAACCAGCATACCAGCGATAAGGGAGCTAAAATGCAAAGAGCAAGGACAATCAGTGGTATCTGTTGTTAACGATCTAAAGTTCAAACAGTTCCTCCTGACTGAGGGAAGGGGCAAGGACATGGAGCGGGGCTGGAAGAAACTTCAAGGCTGTTCGTGCCTTCTGCAATACTGCCACCCGACTCAGTGCAGTCAGGCCAGATAACAAACGGTTTTCCTTTGAACATTTCATCTCACTCCTCTGATTCATGCCGGTGTCACTTAAGGAATTCTGGGTATTTTCAGTCGCCTGAGCATCTACTCATTATTTTAACAACATTGTTTCTATGGAAAAATATGTTTTGAGTTCTAAATAAATGACTTTCAAGTAGAGTTTTGGACCATAGCCACGTTGTGATTTGGGGTGTCGGAGACCGTTTAGGGCGTATGGGGTGGGGGCGGGGGTTAGACACGAACTCGAATGCTCACATGGTGCTTTGAAAGGCTGAGGCTTTTCCTATTCTACTGAACAGCGGAATAATCTGATTACATAAATTTCCCTGAAGACAATGTCTTCTCAATAATAACGATAAAATTGCAACCATTTATCAAGTGCTTCATGAGGTGTTAGGCCCTGTGCAAACTGTTTTGTGTGCATTAAAGTTTCAACCCTTTAATAATCCCCAAACACAAATATCACGATCCACACTTCACAGATGAGAAACCTGAAGTTCAAAGAGATTATAATACTTTTCCCACCTTCACACGTCTAGTGACGTGTTCTGACTCTCATGGCCTGGCTCTCAGCATCATGGAAAGAGGCAAATGTGTGTAGCCACGTGTTGTTTATAGAACGAGAGCTGGCATTTAAAATGCCATGGGCACATGCAGCTTCCTCCCCTTCCCTCGACAAAATCATAATTCAGTCAGAACGTTTAAAGGTTTCACTATGTAGCTGGTCATAAACAATGACGCCACATATTTAAATCGGTCTTCACAGTCCACAGAGCACTCTTCCATGTGTTAGTATTCCATTGATGAAAACAATGACCCGGTGAGATGAAGGGGATCAGAGAGTAAAGGTACAAGAGACCCGTTTTGTAGATGAAAAAATTAAAACTCAGAGCATCTGAGTGAATCGCCCAAGCTCACGTGATAACGGCAAAGCCTCACTAGCAATCCTTCTGACTTGCCTTGGATACGCTGGAGCCAGTGTGAAGCATTGGCGGTAGCTCAGGAGACATTCGAGTCTCTATGCTGCAGGGCTGGAAGAGCTGCATAAAGTGAGCTTGGACAAGTCCCACAAAATCTAGGCCATTGGGCAAGGTGTCATAGCCCCTGCCTCTTCATCTACTCAAGAAGGATGGAGTGTCCAAAGCAGACAGACATTCAGAACAAGCTCTAGATTCTGTTCTCTCACTGCTGACCTTAGGTCTTGTGGGTGTCGCTATCTCTAACAGTGGCAGTCATGGGAGGTAGCAGAGGGAGATGACAAAGGGCAGAGCCGCTGGGGATGGAGAAAGGCCGCTGTGGGACGGAGCCCTGTCTCTCTTTGCCTTCTTCCTAGCACCTCTCACCATGGCGGCCACTCCAGATCTATTCTGGAAGTCCACAAGGCATTAATAGCTGAGGGAGTCCACAGAGTCAAGAGCATCACCTCTCTTAAGCTTTGGAAGTTGGCAAACACGGGCTCGAACTGCAGCTCGGCCACTTGTTCACCATGGTTCAAAGAAAAAGTTATTTGTGCAAGAATATTAACCACCTATTCCACAGGTCCTCATGAGGACTGAACACTCCAGCCTATATGGAGTGTCTAGAATGGTGCCTTGTCTAGAGTAGATCATCAATCAGTGGTAGATCCACTGCATTTTTCCTCTTGCTGATGAAATGTGCATTCTCATCTGAGCCTCTGGACGCTTCAAGATTTGAGTAATTCTGT